AGTCTTATGGTATTTTCCTATAATTCCGAGATTTAGACGCATGTTTCGTAGTGAAATAGATGCAAAACACCTGACTTGGAATGCAGATGATAGAATTATAGATGGGAAGTATCGACATCCGGCAGATTCACCACAGTGGATGAAAATTGATAATGAGTATCCTGATTTTGGAGAAGAAGCTAGAAACCTTTGCTTGGCATTATCGACTGATGGAATGAATCTGCATGGTCTGCAAAGTATCTCACATTCCACCTGGCCTGTAATTATTATGATTTATATCTTACCTCCATGGCTATGTATGAAGCGTAAGTACATGATGTTATCTATGTTAATTTTTGGCCCTAAACAACCAGGGAATGACATAGACGTATACCTGACACCTTTAATCGAAGAATTAAAGAGTTTGTGGGAGAACGGTGTGGAGGTTTATGATGGATATAGGAAAGAAAGTTTCAATTTAAGGGCGATGTTGTTTGGCACAATTAATGATTTTCCAGCATACGGAAATCTATCGGGGTATAGCATTAAAGGTCAATGTGCGTGTCCTATCTGTGAAGAAAACACAGATTAGATGCGGTTGGAATTTGGTCAGAAGAATGTCTTTCTTGGTCATCGTAGATTCTTAAGTTCTAATCATCACTACCGTGGGTGGGGAAAAGCATTCAATGGAAATTCAGAACAACGTAGAGTTCCACCTACATTGACCGGTGAACAAATTTTTGAAAAGGTGAAAGATGTGAGTACTTAGTTTGGCAAGCCTTTTGCTCACACGCTTGTCACGCGTAGGTGGAAGAAGAGGTCAATTTTGTTTGAGTTGTCGTATTGGAAGTCGTTATATGTAAGACATTTTCTTGATGTTATGCATATTGAAAAAAATGTATTTGAAAGTGTTATTGGTACGTTACTCAATATACAAGGAAAGTCTAAGGATGGCCTTAAAGCAAGAAAGGACTTGGTAGCAATGGGAATAAGAAATGAATTAGGACCCTTGAAGAAAGGAAATCGCACATATCTACCACCTGCTGCTTATATTTATCTAGAAAGGAGAAAAAGATATTGTGTAAGTTTCTGAGTGAAGTTAAAGTTCCAGAAGGATACTCTTCAGATATTAGAAGACTTGTTTCTATGAAAGACCTCAAGTTAAAGAGTTTAAAGACACATGATTGCTATGTTATAATGGAACACTTTCTACCAATAGGTATACGTTCTATTTTGCCAGAAAAAGTGAGAGGCGCAATAACTAAATTGTGTTTTTTCTTCAGGTCAATTTGTAGTAAGGTGATCGATCCTGCGATCTTACCAACATTGCAAAAAGAAATAGTTATTATTTTGTGTGAGTTTGAAATGTATTTTCCTCCATTATTTTTTGACATAATGGTACATCTAGTTGTTCATCTTGTGAAAGAGACACAATTGTTCCTCGATTTAGGTTGTGCCTTGAAACATATGTAGGAACAACGGATGTGGTTGAGGGTGGCATCCGTCAAATACCTATGGAGGAAGGTATTTTCGATTTTGAATATACCGAAACAATTGCTAAGGAGGATTTGGACCAGATTTTCCAACATTCTGAATTGGGCATTGGTGTTATGCATTCCTACATCAGGTACTCCGATCCATTTTAATTAAATAATTGAACATTTTAAAATTTGCTCATTTAACTAAATATTCTAATGTTGATTATGTTTTTCTTTTAGGCTCTTGTATGACAAGTTGTTGGTCCCGCATGATTTGACTTCAATATTCACATTCTTATCTGCTAGCTGTATCAACTCACGGGCAATAGATCACACACCAGATGTAGTCAAAGATTACATAGTCCAAAGATTTATGGCCGCGACTACAGAGAAGTTGTTCTTGTTGCCATATAATACTGGTCATGGGTTAGACTTCATTCTAAATTCATTTATTATAATTATTCGATTTTTGCCATTCTATATAACATTTCCGTCTAAATTGTTGTCTTATTTTATAGTGGACACTGGTTGTTGGTCGCGATTAATCCAATGAAAGAAATAGTGTATTATCTGGATTCATTGGATAACGATCAAACAAAATATCCTGATATGAAGAATATGATTGATACGTAAGTGATGAAATATACTGTTCTGAATAATTATATGTCTTTATTTATTATGTGACATTGTTCTAAATATGTGTTCATATTATGTTAGACCTATACAAATATTCAGAGTACAAAGAGAAGCAACAGTGCCAAAAAGTAAGGCTAACAACATTAGCTGGATCAGAGTGCAGGTATATTTTCTCATTTTTTACTGTTATAGTGGTCCTACTTGATAAAACTATTTAAACTATATATCCTGATAAATGTTCGTTTGTTTTTTCCATTTACAGTGTCCTCGTCAGTGCAATGGGATTGACTGCGGATATTTTGTATTGCGCTTTATGAAGGATATTATTCATTCTGGTCAAATAGAGATTTCAATCATGGTATGGATCACTTCATAAATTATATGATTTATTTTGATAATTAATCGATATTTCATCTGAGTAATTAGTTTTAAAACTAAATCGTGCATGTTCTGTTATATTATGTAGTACTTTGATGAATTCAAGTGCGGTACTTACTCGAAAGCAGGATTGGAAGAAATAAAGGAGGAATGATGTCAATTTATTCTTGAGTTGAGAATTGTATAAGGTATATGTATCATCCAATATTGATGCGGGATAATAATATTTCTGGAAGTCGTATCTATTTGTAAAGTTAACGGATTTGTAATTATATGTAAATTGACTGTATTTGTGATGTAATTCTGAGGATCGGATTGTGTTGTAATATATTTAAGCAGGTTTATGTGTATTAAAATGATTATGGGCAAAGTGATGAATTACAATGTATACTTAAAGGCCAAAGTGTTGAATTACAATGTATATATAAGGCCAAAGTGTTGAAATAAAGGTCTAAATTATAAGTAGGGAATGTAATTGTTATAAGCAGGTTTATCGAAAAATATATAAAAAATGTGATTATTTAAATAAAAAAAATTTAAAATCGTGAAGATTAGACAGTGTTTTTACAAAAAAACGCTGCTAAAGGGGGCATAGAGGGCTTTCTAAAAGCGCTGTTATAGGTGGGGAAAGGGAGGGTCTAAGAGAGCGCTTTCTAAGCGCTGCTAAAAGGGGGGTCTAAGAAAGTGCTTCAAAAAAGCGCTGCTAAAGGGGGGGTCTAAGAAAGCGCTTTCTAAAAGCGCTGCTAAATGGGGGGAGGGGATGGGGGAATAGGCAACGCTTCTAAAAGCATTGCTAGAGGGGTAAATAAGCGCTGCTAAATGTGCTGGTAAAGGGAGCCTATAGCAGCGCTTTTTCCATAAAAAAACGCTACGTTTACCTTTAGCAGTGCCACTTTAGGCAGCGCTTTTAAGCGCCGCTAAAGGCCAAAAAAAAGCGCTGCTAAAGGTCTTTTTTGGCATAGTGTATTTTCAATTTCCATTTCAGTTTAAGAGCAATTTATTTTCCATGCCAATCACATTGGATTATTGTTGTAATTTTTATATTATTACATGTCAATCACAATTAGGGGAGCAAATAGGTTGGGCCGAGTTAGGCTTTGCCAAGCCTGGGTCTGACCTGCTAAAAAATTCAAAGTCTAAGTCTGATTTGTAGCATATCATAGGCTTATTTTTAGACATAAGTCTGGCCTTTTTAAAGGCATAATTAGCCTACTAGCCTATTTAAAAGTCTACTTCATTTGAACGTTTGTAAATAAGAAATTCAACTAATGTTAAATAGCTAATAAATTAAAAGATCATTGAGACTAAATGTTTATTTTCATTGTCTCATTCAAGTTTACCTATTAGCATAAGTTTGATGATACTATTTGTTGGAGATAACTTATGGAGAGAAAAAAAACTAATGACAACAACTTATAACATTGTTTATAATGTTTTTTCAACTTATTTACATAAGTTGTTCAAAATAACTAAGTTTTATTTTTGTATTTTGATTCAAAGTACAAAATACAATATAATAATAATAAATTTATTGAATCTTTTATAAATAGACCGGCCTGATAGGCTTAAAAGGCTTTTCTTACGACCCGTGGTCTAACATATTTAACTAAATAAGTTTATAAAAAAGTCTAGGCCTTTTCTATTTAAGAAAAAATTTGGTCTGACTTGGACCTATGTAAATTAGGCCGTAGATCTCTGTTAGTTGACCTGAAATATTCTCATCCATAATCACAATTGGTATTTTAGATATGAATTTACCCACTGTGCGTTTCGCGCGGGTCTTCTATCGGTAATGATAATAAATTTTCTTTAAAAATATTGGGATGATATCATGTTAATAAGAAACCAATTATGTGATGAGGTCATGATTGAACCATTTATTCTTTAGTACAATAAAGCGCCAAAACCCAAATGGGTCTAAATTTATCATGCATTGAGATGTATACCTCTCTGATCAAAATTTACTACATTCAGCTACATTTCAGATTCAGCTAAATTATTAACATAGTTAGAACTCAATACTTAATTAACAAGTAATAAAAAATAGAAAGCAATCCACTCTACTCTTATCCTATTATCTCTATACGGATCACTAGTTTATTTTTACTTTATTGAATTGGTTAATTTTCTAGAAATAGTGGTATCTTAAAAACCAATCTATTTCAATGCAAAAGCAGCACAGGATTTGCGTAAAACCCACTTGATTGCTGCACCTTCCTCACTCACTCTCTCTCTCTCTCTTAACTTCAATCCTAAGTATGATTAATCATTTAGCTTTCTCTCTCTTCTCTCTTTAAATGAACATGATTAGTTTAATTTACTCTCTCTTCACCCCACACACAAACTTAATAATATTTTACATCTCTTTGAAAACGTTTAAATGACACAAACTATCTCTCAGGTAATATTTCACGCTATATAGAGACAGTGACCACTTCATACTTCACACTATTCTTCTCCTTCTTCCAAAATAAAAAATAAAAGACTAAACATTCTTCTTGCATAATTTCAAACCATTTTCGAACCAAAATGGGTCGCCATTCGTGTTGCTTAAAGCAAAAATTAAGAAAAGGTTTATGGTCTCCCGAAGAAGATGAGAAACTTTTCAATCACATAACTCGATTCGGTGTTGGTTGCTGGAGTTCTGTTCCTAAACAAGCAGGTAATTCGTTATTATAAGTTATAACATCGTCTTACAAAATTATATTTTACTATTCAAAATAAAGAGTGTAAAGAGTTCGATGAATCGCTTACAGGGCTTCAAAGATGTGGAAAAAGTTGTAGGTTGAGATGGATAAACTATTTGAGGCCGGATTTAAAGAGAGGAATGTTCTCGCAACAAGAAGAGGATGTTATAATTAGTCTTCATGAGCTTCTCGGAAATAGGTAACATATATTATGTAATTATATGCAGAAAATTAAGGTGTTTATCCAATTCAGATTATCGAAATGAAATTTTTGTTGTTGTTCATAAGGTGGGCTCAAATTGCAGCACAATTACCGGGGAGAACAGATAATGAAATTAAAAATTTCTGGAATTCGTGTTTAAAGAAGAAGCTTCTAAAGCAAGGGATTGATCCAACAACACATAAGCCTCTAACAGAACCATATATTAAGGAAGAGAACAAAACAACAGAAACACCAGAAACAACAACAACGCCGATGCAAATTCCATCGGTTACATCTCAAGGTTCATCGTTTCTATTAAGTGATTCAAGTTACTATGATAACAATGGCTTAACAGAAGCTTCTAGAGATATTTTCAGTAGTAAATCAGCATTGGATTCTTTGTTCTGTTATGATTTCCAATCTGGTTATACCTTACCCATGAATAATTACCAGAGTCAAAGCCAATTTGGTATTACTTCAAGCTATGGATTTTCTTCAATGCCGAGTCTAACGAACTCGGATCACGCGGTTGTGTCGGTGACGGAGTTTTCAGACAACAACTCACCTTCGAAAATCAGTTCATTGTTCATGAATGATCAAGTGAAAGAAAGTAATTCAAGCAATAGCTCCAACATGAGCACTATTTATCCTTCTCAGATGAGAAACACTATGATTGAAAATAATAATAATAATGCAGGATTTTCTTGGGATGGAGATAACAAAATAGACCCTTTGTTTCATTTTCAAGTGAATGCTATAAAATCTGAAGATTTTGGAACTAGTTCATGGGAAGAAGGACAAATCCAAACTCACAATTCAATAGATTTCAATAGCTATCCTTTAACATCGCTTTCAGAAGATTTATCAGAAGCAAATTTTGATGTATTCCATCATATATGAACTGTAAATTATTTATCTCTATTTTTATTTTTATTTTTTTACATATTTTTTGAACTATATATATTTCTATTGTTCAAAGTAGAAAATATAGAAAAGGTGTTGATAGTACAGAAAATTTGTAGATTAAGATTTGAGATTGAGATTTTTTTTCTTGTTTTCCCAATTGATGTATCTGTTTTCATAAGTTAAAGTTTGAATAACAGTATATTCTTTAAGATTAATGATTGAAGCTAATTTTGTTTTGTGGCTTGTTCAACTACTGAATTATTATTACATATTTATCATTTTTTTTTCTCTTTTTTATAATTACAAGTTTATTTAATTCTGATCCTCTTATGGAGATACCTTTTTCTGTCCTTTAGTGAAGGTGGTCAAAGACTCAAAATGATCAAAAAGACAAAATTAAACCCATAATATTGAACCATATAGTTACAAATTTCATTTCATTTTCTTCGATGCTTCACTTATACAATAATATGATGTTTGTATTATATTTTATCATATCATACACGCTCGTGTGTTTCTGAGTACACATTCATGTATATATGTCTGGAAGATTTTTTTATTATATGAAGATTATATTATCCTGTGTCATATCATAAAATAAGGGATGCTGTTTTTGCTGGCATATGATTCAGCAGGTGAATCCTTCCAAAAGGCTAGAATTGGCTGCACAAATATCTGCATAATTGAAGAGAGATAAAGAGAGATATATCATATGTATTATGTAACATAGATGATTAAAGTCTGAGTGTTATCTTCTCTTTCTGTGTTTTTATAAAGCTCGGTATCCGGACTTGAGACAGACTAATTCAAGCGGATCAATCTCATCATCTACTTGCAAGGACCGCGTTTAAAGCCAGAATTTGAAAAGTTTTGTATGAACTGGTCCAGCACAAAAATTGTCTAATACTTTTTAATTTTCGGCCAAAACCTGCATGGTGGTTATTATATATTATATAAGATATGATATATCTTAGCTCTTATGAGGTTCTGAAGGTTTTCTGGAAATGATGATGGTGTCAAAGCTTAAACATAGAGGACATTGACAGTACATATTACTGCAGCTTATCTGTTTCTTCTGCTGCTTATATAATGCATGTTGCTTCTATTTACTTTTTGAAAAGGTGACCTATTAAAGCAAATGAGAGAGAACAGAACCCACACAAGTTGGTGCTTTATTCATTAAGGACTAGGGAGTGAAACATCCATGAGTGATTCAGCCATTGGTGGGATCTCATTCTGAACAATCTACTGTAAACACAAAAGTACACATTTATATGCACATTATTATATAGATCTTAATTCATCCTCTTATAAAACATGATTTTATAAATTTGAGTTAACTCCACCAAAATTCTAATATAGTATATTAGAGTCTATTTGATCTTGATAGAGCTATCCACCAATTATGGTAAGTGACAGATAATGTATAGGAAAAATCAAATTCTACCTATAAAATAAAGATAAAATCTCAATAAAATTTAGAGTTTTTTTAAAAAATAATATAGGATAAAAAGTTCAAAGTACATTTTAATATATATTAAAATGTATTTTAAAGTATAACAAAGAAATTAAACAAGTACAAATAAAAAAACAAAAAAAACTAATGGCTAAAAAAACAAACAACAAATACAAGAGTCAAGAGTTCAAGTCAGCTAGACAATTGAATCAAAAACCATCAAGAGAAGAAGGAGAAAAAACATTCATACTCATCTCACTATAATCTTAATACACTGTTGATAATTCAAAAGATAGGATTTTAAGGTCATTATATGAATGTGCGAGAATTTTCCGCTGATTTATCTTAAGAATTAGGGATGTATATGAGTTGGATTGGATCAGATTTATCCTAACTCGTTATCCGATCCGTTCAAACATTAATGGATTGGATTCGTCATCCAATCCACAATTTCATTGTCAAAACAGATCCGTTCATTTATAGATTGGGCTCGTGGGTTGTGTTCAAATAAAAAAAAATTTATGATTTTTTTTGTCCGTTTAAAAAAAATTGTAACACAACTCAATGCAATGATATTCATTTATAATATTTAAATTCAATGAAACATATCATATAATATCTAACAAAATTCATCATCACGACGTAATATTTGATAATATATAAAATTCAACAAAACTCTTTATTTCCATAAAATACATAAGTTTGAAATGATACAAAAGAAAATAAGAAAAACCATTTGATCTTAAAATTACGTAAATTCATTGGTCTAATTATATTATTTGTGGACAATAATTTTTCTTTATAGAAAAATTATGGTTATTATTGAAAAATTAATTTTATATTTTTATTTAAAATAATAAAAAAAACTACTAAAATCACATTAATAGACTAGCTTAATAGGTCTGCAGATTATAAAATTTAAACCTAATATCTAAATTAAAATTGTACGCGATTAATATGAATAGAGTTGGATACATTCATAAATAAATAAATTCAAATAATTTATAGATTAGTTCAATTTAAATCAACGAATTCGTAAGTTGATCTGCACTCAAAAATACGCATTTATCAATTGATCCGGATAGATGAGATAGCAACACTTCATTTTACATGATACTTAATAATAGTAATAATCATTTTTCAATATTTTTTATAAAATATTTTCATCTTTTACTATTAAAGCGACACCTAGTGTACAAAATTGACTTAACTAGCATTGAAAAGAGTGTGGTAAGTGAGACCCAAACGCATATGACTAAAAAGGGCCTACCCAGATTTGCAAGTTTTTTCTATTATACCAAAAAGGAGAGGGTGAAAGTCATGACTACTTGAAATAGAACAGCTGTGCGTATAGGCATAACCATATCATAAAAGCAAGAGGGACAGTACATAATGATAAATTAATTAAATAACTTGAAGTGTTTAAGCTAAGTAGATGGAGCTTATATATCATGTATGGCTTCTTGGGAAACAATTGATCTAAAAGCTTTAAATAATGACAGACATTGACAATAAGAAAAAGATTATGATAAAGCCACAATTAACATGTAAAAAATTTATACGCAAGTTATGAAAGCTCATGCCGCCTAGCTCAGTAATTATAATTAAATTCTGGAGGCAGTAATATAAACGTGTTTGTGGTCAAAATCATTAAGTTCATCTTGAGAAAAATTAGGGGTGATTAATTATAACATTGCTGAAAACAATGCTCAATCCTATCACTATATAAACAGTTTTATAGTAGTAGTATTTTAAGTGTAATTAAACTTAGACATAAATGTTTGATTTGAACTATGCGGTTATTCAAAAAATTATTATTATATGTATTAATTTTAATAATAAATTTAATATCATTTGCAAAAATGTACAATTAATAGAATAATGAAAAGAGTACAAAAGTTAATAAATAAAATTATAATACTACAAGATAAAATTATAATAAAAAATATATTAATAAATATTATATTAATATCGTAAAGAGACAATTATCTTAAAATAAAGAAGAAAAAGTATAATCGAAATATTTTTTGTGAGATTGAAGAGTATTTTATAAAAGTTACTTTCTTCTGCACAAAATAAGTATTATATTTGACATTTTTTTAATAAATTAAAAAAATACAATAAATGAAAAAAAGAATTGTCAAATTATTATTATTGACTATTGTATATTGTGTATTTTAATTATCATTTGTAAAAAGTATTATAAATAGTAAATTAAAAGTATTATTTAAAAGATATAATTAAAAAATCAAAATTAAAATTGTATTGAAGACTAAATATGACATTTATTTTGAAATTTTTTTTACAATGTAATATTTATTTTCGGAAATAGATAGTAATTTTTAACCATTTTAAAATGATCCTGCTATCTATCTTGAACATTTATATTAAATACTCTCCGAAAATTATAAACTTCGGTTTATATGACAAGCCCTCACAAAATTTATCAAACCTCATTTAATAGAAATAAAATAATTAAAAAATTAGTCATTTTTTCATCTTCATCTTCACTTTGATGTTCTTCACAACCCAACAAATATTTAAGCTACAATAAACCTTCATCTTCTTTCACTCTATCTTCACTTCCATCTTTTTCATAACTTAACCCTACAAATCAATCTTTGTCTTTCATTTATGAATATCTCTAAACTCACTCTTTCTACTTTGAAACATCCCGTGCTTTTTTATATTTGCTTGGGATGTCCTTACATTAGAAAAATATAAAAAGTGATATTACATCATTTTCTTTTAAATGTGATATTGTGCCTTAAGAAAGTTTATATTTGAACTCTAGAATATACCAATACTCATAGGTTTCTCACAAATGAGTTACTTCTTATTTAAAGACTTAACATAGCTTAAATGTTTGTTATGGTTGTATAGAGGATGAAAATAAATATATAGGAGAAGAATTTAACATAAGCTTAAGTTAATTGTTTCTTGACAAAATTTTGTTGGAAGTAAACTAATTTCCGCTCAAGAATTTTACTAAAATTTGATTTCGAATTACATTTTGATGAATAAAAATTAATTTTTTTATTGATTATTTCTCTTGTTCTTCATTCTTCACTCGAGTGAATCAATCAACCTTAGTTGCAAGATTATAGCACTGCACAATTATAATGAAAGAAGACAATTGAATTGGTGAAGAAAGGTTTAGGGTTTAACAAGAGAAGGAAGAAGAAGAATTGTGAAATATGCAGAGTTTTTCTCTGCTCTCAAACTAAGAATTTTATTTAACTGTGCAACAACACTTTTATTATTTTTTTACAATCAATAATAGGGTACCTCCCTATTTATAGGTTGAGATTGTTTGCACACCAAACAATCTCCAACTAACCTAAACACACTTGGCTAAAACAACCAAATAAAACTAAGTCTAACGAACCCGTCGAAGACACACATTTCAACAACTCCCATGCCTTTGTCGAGCAACATGCTTCGACACAAGGAATTACATTCTCAACACACCACCTAATTCATTGTGTCTAAACTTTCTACATTCATCATAGACTTAATTTCTTTAACACTTCGACCT